ATTGAAGCTTCGAATCCAAACCCCGATAACAAAGGAAAAGAAGCAGAAGTTTGAGGCCGCAAGAAGCAAAAGAAACCCACAAAGGGCCAAACTCCAAAACCTTATACCAAAAAAGACGATCGATGCGCGAGATAGTACAGAGTTCTTACCTTGGATTTCCGCTTCCCCGTACCCTCCATCACATTGAAGCTTCGAATCCAAACCCCGATAACAAAGGAAAAGAAGCAGAAGTTTGAGGCCGCAAGAAGCAAAAGAAACCCACGAAGGGCCAAACTTCAAAACCTTATACCAAAAAATACGATCGATGTGCAAGATAGTACAGAGCTCTTACCTTGGATTTCCGCTTCCCCGTACCCTCCTCCTGGCTGCCTTCCTCCTCCCCACTCTCCGTCACCTCCGTCGCGGCCGCCTGCCCAGCATCTACTCCGGCGGACATTTCCCCATCAGAATTTCCGGAAGCGATCGTTCGACATTGAACGCGAGACAACCATCGTCCCGATTGATAACAGCTAGGGTATGAAAAGGAGGAGCTACTGGCGGGAGATTTAGCGAGTCTTGAGGAGGGAATGGGCGGGCAGGTTTGGAATCTCCGAGAAATAATTCGATCTCCTCCGCACCTTGTAATTTAAACCCAGAGGGGCCCCAGACGCAAGTAAAAAGATGTGGGGGCCATCTTCAACACGGCAAGGGTCCTTGTGGCCCCACAGAAACAAAAAGTAACCCTCATTACCACAATTATTGGTCCAAAAGAAGGCACAAAAGCCAACATAGCTTAATAGCCCCACTTTGAAACAGTTAACACACGGACACACACACTCTCTCTCCCACAGATAATAAAGCCAAAACCAATTATGGAGGTTCAAAGGAGGACAGACAGATTGGGAGGGAGGAGAGACGGTGTTGGATCTCGACGGCGATGACAACCCCAAACAACCGCACTAACGGCGACAACCACCACCGGCCTAACTCTCCGCCTGACCCTCGTCGGCGACGCCATTACTTGGGCCCGCCCATCTCTACCTCCTCCTCCTCGGCCGCCTCCTTCAAGGGCTGCTGCTGCTGCCTGTTCCTCCTCCTCATCTTCCTCGCCTTTCTCGCCGTCGCCGTCGCCCTCGTCGTCGTCCTCGTCCTCAAGCCCAAGAAGCCCCAGTTCGACCTCCAGCAGGTGGCCGTGCAGTACCTCCTGGTCGCCCCGGCCGTCGGGGGAGGGGCTCCGCCGGCCGCGGCGTACCTGTCGCTCAACATCACCCTGATGTTCATTGCGAACAACCCGAACAAGGTGGGGATACGCTACGACGCGGCGGCGCTGGACGTGATGTACCGCGGGGTGCCGTTGGGTGTGGCGACGGTGCCGGGGTTCGAGCAGCCGGCCCACAGCCGTCGCCTGGTCGAGACCCGCGTCGTCGTCGACCACTTCAACGTGCTCCAGTCCGACGCCCTCGACCTCGTTCGCGACGCCCTTCTCAACGACCGCGTCGACCTCCGCCTCACCGGCGACGTCTCCGCGAAGATCCTCGTCCTCGGCGTCTCCACCCCTAGGGTTCAGGTGACGCCCTTCACCCTCCGCTCTCTCTGCCCGATTCCTACCCAACATTCCAATTTCTTTAGATAAAAATTAAATAATATGTTACAGAAATTAAGGTTACTATTTATTTAAATCAAGTAGGTATCGGTGGATTGTGCGATCGTGATCAGCCCCAGGAGGCAATCGCTCACTTACAAGCAATGTGGAGTCGACGGATTAAATTTCTGATTTGGAAATAGGAAAAAATAAATTTAAGCTAAAAAAAAGTTCTTTCTCTATTTTTTATTGCTTCCATATTTTAATCTATCATGCGCCGTGGTGGTCTCAATTTAGTAATATTTCATGTTTATCTTTTCTTTTTTGGGGGTCGGTTTTTTTTGTTGGGCCGTTTTGGCCCGAGTGGTGGTCTCAGCTCTGTCACTTAACCCATTAGTATTATCTTTGTAGCTGCTTGGGGATTTAGAAGGGCAGGAAGAGTCATGATGTTACACCTGTTCAAGTTTTATGTGGAGTATTCAATCATCGCATGGCTGGTTTGGATTAGGCTGGTGAGGGCTTCTGGTAACACCATTAAGGGACCGGGGGGGTCTTATTACAAGCTTCTCGTGGTGTGGAACGGGGAGAGTGGGGAGGAGGGGGTTGAGTGGTTACTTTGTTTTAGTGGATTCTGAGGCCAATCCTCGGTGCTGCTTTTCGCATGCAACTATAAAGCACCGAAAGTGCGAAGAAAAGTGATCCTTCAATTCATCATCTGCGACAGAATAGTCGCGGAAGGACATTTCCGGTTCTGTGCCTATTTCAATCAGGTTGACACGGACAGTAAGAGTCTCTTTAGTAGGTCATAAGGGATCTCGACGATCGAGTATCATATTCCAGTGTCATACTGATTCCATTGGGTCTGACTCTCTAACTAATATTCTATACAATCTTCTGAACCATCAGAAGTTTTGTAGGTATACCCAATCCATTATTATTATTATTATTATTATTATTATTATTATCGAGATTTTACATCCAAATTGGTTTGGAGTCTTGATAATGTTATCTATAAATGTTTTTTTTATAAATGAGATTATATTTTTATTATGAGTTAATTATAAATTATCTCTTGTAATTAGCTACATCTAATATCTTAGTCTTTATACTTTCAAAAGTTACATTAAGATTCTTATACTTATAAAAGTAAAATATTTAATTTCGTTATTTTAATAAAGTTTTTATTTTTAATCTTATAAAATTATTATTTTTATTATATATATGGATTTTAATATTTTATTTTCATAATTATAAAGTATAAAATGAGTATTCTAATATATAAAGCATCACCTACCCCAACACGTACTCTTACAAAGCTTAGCAAAAATGCTAGCTTACAAATCGACTCAAATTGATTTTTAAACAAGTGCTAAATAATATTACTTATCTTCCACAATACAATCCTCACTCTTCTTTCCGTTTAGCAAAAAGAATAATATATTCATAAAGGTAACGTTTTCTATAATAATATAAATATTGTTTAGACTTACACGAACGAAACTATACATTGTCCATTCAAGCTTCAATTAGTCGAACCCAAAGTTAGTGTCATCATAAGATAATTGTAATGTTCTTACCAAATATATATCCAAAATATGCTTCGAGGAAGAAATTGGAATAAATTCACTTCATAAAACCAAATCTAGATTCTAGTCATTTAGCAAGTTAACAAAGCCATTCATATATTAATCTCAAGGGTGTTCTTACAAAGACAATAGAATAATTATGTGTGCAATAAATCTCAGACGAATCAACAAAGAAAGCTCTTTCTTCTTTTTCGAGGGATTTTTGGAACTATCTCTCATTTTTAATATTTTCCAATAGTATTCCTTTTCCCTTAATATCTGGAATACCCATGGTCAGCCACATATCTATTTTTCATTTTTTTTCCTTTTTGTCTATGACTACTAGTTCATATTATGAACTGGTCCAATTATAATATTTTTTAAACATTATATATAATATTAAAACATTATGAAGTAATAAAAAAAATTGTAATGTAATTATTTTTTTAAAAAATTATATAGACACTATGTTTACAGATGTTTTTATATTATTATAATTTTTCAATGAAAATAGAAAATACTATAATATAATATAAAAAAATACTAGAATGTAATATTTTTTGCTACATTATAATATTTTTTGATATTTTAAAAATAAACATAGTGTAAGAACACTATAATTATATGGATTCATCAAAAGAAAAAGAAGGAAATAAAAGGGATAGGAGGATTTTAGGCATTAGGTAAAAAAGAAAAAAGGGGGCACTTGAAAGATTTCTTAATATGGGTATTCCTCCGGAAAAACATCAATAGAGGGATTTTTTTCTCAGAAATTCGCTCATAAATATTTAATTTAATTTAATTTAATTTCTAATGCACGGTCCAAATTAATTTGGTCTTATGCTACATTGCTTCTGTGATATTTACGTTATTACCAGTAGGGCACCTGCGACCACGTGTATACAAAAACTGAAACGCCAACAGAACAACCGAGGCGGAGCTTCGAGGCTTGAACCAATATGGCGAGCGGCGCGGTCGAGAAGACGGCGGAGGATCTACGCAAGGAGATCCAAGAACTACATCGCCAGCAGCGGGAGGTTCTCCGCTCCTTCCGACCCTTCCCTCTGTCTTTCTCTCATCTCGCTTCGATTCGTCTAAAACCCTAACTTCTCTTTGGCCGCAGATCACCGAGCGGCTTCGAGATCCCAGAGGCATCCGCCGTGGCGGCCTCGCTCCCAGGGGAGCCCGCCTCGCAGCCGCCGCCGCCGGACCCCTAAACCGTGGAATAGTTCGACCGGTACGACCCTCCGTCGAGGTCCATTGATTGCTTCTGGTTGATTTCTATCGGTTAAATCTGTTTTTTCGGTTTCAGGCGGATGAATCCGAGGACCAGCCACCGCCCAAGAGACGGCTCTCATCAGCGGTAGTCAAAGTAATCTTCCCTCGCGCACTGCTTCTCTATCCAATTTCAAGCACTTTTTTGTGCAAACAAAGGGTGTTTTTTTTATTCATGTACTTATTGGTTTCGCAATTTTGTTTGATGGAGTTGGAGGATGGGGAGGTCAAAGAGGATGTGGGTGCTGCGAAGGATGCCAAGGAGGAGGATCCTCTGGCAGAGGCGAGTGCTGCTGCGAGTGGGGAGAGGAACGAGCAGAAGACATCGTATTCACAGAGCAATGGCGGTGGGTTTAGAAGGGATGGGAATTCGAGAATGCGAAAGACAGTAAGTTCCAAATTCGGTGTACTTTTGGTTGTTAGTGTTGTGTGGGCTAATTTTAGTGATTGCATTTTGGGAAATATTCTAGGATATTGACATGTCACTGCCAGAGCCGACGCCAAGAGAGCCCAAATTAATTCAGGATGCTAGCTTGATGAAGAGGAACAAAAGAATGCTAGGCCAGCTATTGGGGACATTGGAGGTAATACTATGAGATATATGCAATGCAATTTCTATTTCTCTGTCCTAAATATATAAAGGAATAAGGAAAAATGTTGTGCTTGCTATGTTCTTTTCTTTGTACATTATAGCAGCATTCTGTTGCTCGATAGCTAACTCTTTAGATAATTGATGATATGTTATTGTACTCCTAAACATACAACAGCTGAGAGTTTATTTAGTGAGTCAGCAACACTCCTTACTCCTATGATGGTGGATAGGAGATCATGCTGGGATGAATAGATGGTGTCATTGTGTACTCCACATCATCTATATGCAACAGATTTTGATTAGCATTGGCTAGTTGGATAAAGAATCACAGTAAAACTTTGCCTTATGGACCTTTCAACACATTTTGTATTGCTTCTGATCTTCTTGTCAATGGCAGTAAAATTGGGTTTAACGAGATGTCGTAGTATCTGCTTTATTTATGATGGAGTTGCTGGGTTTATAATTCGAGCAACTTTATTTTCTTTCTTGGATATAAATTTCTTATTCTTGCTTAATTCAGAAATTTCGTGAAGAGGATGAGAAATTATCATCGACGGATGCATACATGCGTAGGTCAGACTCATTGAGAAGGGTGAGTACTTTCGTCTTTAATTTTGTGCTGAAATCAATCTGTTTCATTTGTCAGATAGGTTGCTTTTATTCACAGCAAGTTCTATCTAGCATGTAGTAGAAGTCTTCTAGAATCAGGGGATTCAATTTCAACACCACATTTTATTTTATTCAAGTTGTTTTTGTTCTTTATTATTTGGAGTAAACCTGGTTCCCTGATATGATGCCGATTTATTATCTTTTAAAGATTGGCTTAGCAATTTCTAGAATTGTTCAATAACTTAGATTTCAGCAACTTCTAAAAGTACTATACCTTTGGGAAGCTCATCACATTCTGATTAGAAAAAGGTCTTTTCTTTCTGATTGATGGAGAAACAGAAGAAGTTTTCAATTTTTTTAGCATGACAAAAATTTTGGAGTGGCAATGTTGTAGGAAGCTGTTGTGCTCATGATGAAGTTTTTCTCTGTCTACCTGTTATGAGCCCTGGTGGTTGTTAGCGATGTGTGGTTCCTGAGATCATTCTAACTGCATATTTGTTTGTTGGTGTTTTTACTGTGGATATAAGCATGATTACTGTATGCGTTTGAATCATTTTTCTTGTGTTTGAATGTGCAACTATTATGTTCATCCTTTCTTGCTAATTGTTCCTTGAATTTTTCTGGTATCTTTTCTATAATTCATACATTGCTTATCATTCATATAATTCATGTTAAATGGTTTTTGCAAGCAGGCAGAAGAGAAGGTTCGAGAAGAAAGTGAGAGACTGCGGCAACAAGAGCGGGAACAAATTGCAGAGAAACGGAAACGTGACCTAGTAATTCCCCTTGCATGCTATTAGTATGTAACTTAATAGCGCCATGAATCTGGAAGTTACTAATGTTTATTTATTGCTATATGACAATAATAGACTCTTAGAGCTCGTGTTGCTGCTAAGGCACAAGAGAAGAAGTTGGAGTTGCTATTTCTGTCCTGGTCGGAGCATCATAAGAAGCTTTCAAATTTTTTAAGGTATATATACTTTAAAGGTTTGGCCCAGAGATATTCTTCTATTTTCCTTTTCCCCTTCTCCTCTGCGTATCTTTATCCTTAATATAATTTTTTCTTTGTTGCATTCTATGCTTCTGGCTATGCTTTGATATTATACATCTACAAGTTGATTCACATTTTCTCCTCTGGCTATCTTTTTGACCGTATATATGTAACTTACTTGACCTCAGTGAAACATTTCTTTTTATACTGCAGGTTATTTTTTTTCTGGCCCAAGTCTACATATTGACAATTTAATTCAGACAGATAAGTTTCTTATGTATGCATAGCTCTAGCATTCAGCGAGACTAGAAGCTCCTCTATGCATGTTATTAATATTACTCCAATTTGGTTTATTATTTTTACTCCACCTTTGTTCTTGTTTTCATCAGGACCAAGGCAGAACCTCCAATATACTACATGCCAGCCAAGCCTCTGGTAGATGATCCTGCACTTGTTGAGCAGCAAAGAGAACAGGCATGATATAATTACCACTTTTTTCCTCTGAAGACAGCTTGTGTTTCTTTCTGCATTAGGATACATGTTATAATATGATGTTGCTAACTGGTACCTTAAGGGTACCCCTGACATTCACGTACGACTTGTTTGGAAGAAGAAATTGCCTTTTCTATAACATGCCCAGCCACATATTTGTTAATCAAAGTCCAATATTTATGGTTAATCATTTGTGGTCATCATTGATGGTTCATGACTAATCATCATGGGTTGCTATAATGAGTTGCGATATCCATATTCTTTCCCCCTTCTTATAACCTGCAGGAGACGGGAAAGGAATCTAGATAGATGTCCACATAGGCATCTGTATCTTTGTGTTTGTTTATGCCAGCACACATGCCTCTGCATATGAATTTCTTAGAACAAAGAGCAGTCTGTTCTTTCTCGGCAACCTTTGTACAATCATGAAAGACCGTTGGTTAATTTTTAGAAAAAACCTTCATCCAGTGTTACAAATGTCAAGTTTGGAGTCAGCAAGTTATATGATAACTACCATGTCTGATAGAAGCTAAGACTTATGCACGTACTTTACAGGTTTTTCTTGAATGGAAGACCACAAGAAGGGCTGAGCTGTCAGAGTACCAGAGGCTCATGGAGGAGCAATATCTTTCGAATGTCGAGCAGCAGCTTGAGAGGTGGCATAACGCCAGGAACGCCAGGAAAGCCGACAACTTGGTGAATCTACAGGAGACAATGGACAGGGAACTGGAGACACACAAGCTGGAGCATGGACCCAAGACAAGGAGGATACCTGGAGGCAATGACGACGAAGAGGATGTGGAGGATATAGCCGCTGAAGATGAGTTAATGGATGAAGTCCTCGAGGTCCATGAGAGGATCGATGGTGATACACCAAAGCCGTCTGATATTGGTAACGGCAGTTGAAGAATTCCTGTAGTGATGCAATAGTGGGATTTAGTGATTAGGTATTGTTTTGAAGCCTGTTCAAACATCTTATTGTGATTTATGTTTTTATTTAGTTGACTTGTACTATGATGGTTGTGTTTGATGTTCCCCACTTGGTATACTAACCAATGGATTAATGCTGCTTCGAGAACTGTAGTGCCTGTAGTATAATATAGATCTGGAACTTTTGTTTGGCAAAATCTGATATCGGTATCCTGATGTCGGTATCATCCGACATCTCGACCATTTTCTTTGGTAATCTCTGGGATAGGGTGGTGTTGCAGGTGACTCCAGGAGACACATATTTGATGTATATGGTGACAAGCAGGATAAGTTGGATATATTTTATCTTGGTTGAGCTGAGCTGATAACTAAATTTGGGAAATATTACATTCATATTGCTTCCTTAGGAATCTCATATCCTTTTCATTTACATGCTTGGAAGTTTTACAAATTATTTTCATCCAGGCTGCATGAAGTTTTTGTTATATCTGAGTGCTGAAGAAAAAGCAAAAAAAAAAATGACACAGAGGCTTCGAAACATACGAGTGCACAAATCACAGTTGTAAAATGTAATGCATTGTCCACTGTTGCATAATTGATACTTATGATCAATTATGAGTCTAAGTTGCTTTTGTTAATTGAACACAATCAAATCTAATATGATAAAAGAAGAAGGGTAGAAAAACTTGTTAGATATCAATCCATCAACTTCGACATAATTATTTTTTAATAAATTAGTATTTGCAATTTGTGATTTCATGAACATCATTTTTAATATAATGAAAAATTTAAAAAGGTCATTGAATACTTTATTTAATTAATCCCTAAACCTTTTTTTTATTTTTACACCAAATCAGTCTCCTTATTAGGAATATTATACCTCTGGAAAATTCGAATTAACATATATATCCCTTTACCTATTAAAAATTTCCATTTATCGGACTCCAAATATGATAAAACAATGATACAAGTTTAAGCAGCCTTCTTAGATTGTATTGGGACTTCATTAATTGTATCCGCTCTTGGCGTGGGGCTTCTTCGGTTGACCGTCCGTGAAACGTGCCCTTTTCCCTCTTCTTCCTCCTCCTCCTCGCGATCAAATTAGCCCCGAACTGCGAGACCTCTATTCCGATCTAGGGTTAGCTCTCTAGCGACACCCGTTCTCCCATCCTTCGATCTATTGATCTATCGATTCATTGTAAGTCCATATAGGGAGAGGAGGGATGGTGGGGCACGCGCATAGGATCCCGCTCGAGGTGGTGACATCGATGCTCGAGATGGCGGACTTGGCCTGGGTTGCTCTTGAGCACCGGCGCGGGGGCAGAGCCGGGGACGCCAAGGATGATGAGGCCGCACAGCTCCGGGCCGAGAACCTCCGTCTGAGAGCCATACTCGCCGACAATCTTGCGATCCTGCAAACCATCTATGATTCGCCGACTCTCTCCAGCGATTGCCCTCCCGATGTGAGCCCCTCTTGACCCACCTCAAGAATTAATAAAAGGATGTGATTTTGGTTGCTGTTATTGTTATATATGTTGAAAGGGAGAAATCTTGTTTTTTTTGTTCTTTTGTTTGTTGTTTTGTTTTAGCACGATTAAGAAGATTGCAATCTAGGATATAAGGCTATACCAAGCTGGAGGGTGAACTAATTTTAAAAGCTCAAGTTTTATTAGAGTAGCCTAAATCAATTGGCCCGATATAATATTGAGCATCCTTCGATGATTGACAAAGCATCAATTAATGAATATGCAGATCTTGATCACCTTATGACTGCTATGTGTGCTAGCCATTCTACAACGGAAGAGCCGCCCCTTTTTCCTGCTCTTACACTTGAAAATTTTGAATTAAGGCTCCCTGTTTGTGCTTGCACTCTTATTTTCTTGCAAAATTTTACTACGAGTTTTGTAGTTTTAACTTCTGAAATGGAAGAGATCAGATTTTTTGTATTTTGGTTATTCAATTTGTTGGTGCAATAGGAGAAGAAAAAATATACTAGTTGATCCTGCGGGACAAAGTTTTGTAAAAGATTAGAGGTTCATGAGTGTCAGATGATAGCCTTAAGTCCAATTTATTGTGGATGTATAGCCTTACGCTTTTGTAATTTTTATATTGAAATTTTGCAGTTGCATTCCCGCCTTTTAGCTGCAGTTGAGAACTCGAGCTTTCTGGGAGAACTTGAATTGCTTCGTAAAGGGTCAAAAGACATTCCGAATTGTGGAATCCCAGCAGCCGAAACGAAAGGTTTGTCTTAGAACACTTAGATTCATTGGTGCCCAATGTATGTAAGTTTCCAAGACCAACTTTTAGTTATTAATTTGTGAACATTCTAACTCAGGTGCCGAGCTGAATGGTGTGGAAGTTCCGATCAAGATTGATGATGGGGAACCTAGTTGGTGGGTTTGGATAACGCATGAAATCACTCCAGATTGTTTGGAAGAAGTCAGCAGGATTGACAATGAAAATTATGTTATCATTAGTGAAGAAAATGTAGTTGATGGAATTTCAAACTTCATTGCAAGGTGCATTTTGGAACACCCAGAATCTAAGGTATATAGTTTGAACTATGGATGCTTAACATGTAATTGATTGGTTTTTGTATGTTCTAATATTCTGCTTTCTTAATCTCAGATATTGTCCCCAGAAGAGCTGCAAAAAGGTATGATTGTACCTTAAACCTATTTAATTATGTGCTACCACTTGCTCTCAGAAGTCTCTATATCTTCTTGATTCCTTGATAAGTTATGGCTTTTTTCCTGCTTAATGTAAGTTCAGTTGTGATAGTGATTTTCCTGTAATTGGAATATATCCTTGTTACGATTGGGGATTGATGGATCTATATATGGGCTAGTATCTGAGAGAGTAAAGTTAATTTATCCTATGAAATTATTTAGATTTTGTTTGTTCATTTTGCTTCTTTGTATTTTGCATAAATTTTGTGTTATACTAATTTATTTTGTGTTTTGTGCTGGGTATAAGAATGCCTCATTCAGTGCTACTTTACAAATGTGATATAGATTGTGCAAGGAATGATTTTTGGGATTATATGATTCTGATTATATATTTTTCCGCCAGTATTTCTGTGCACCGGTTTAATTGAATTTTTCTGCATATTTCAGCAGACGTGGCATTCTTTTTTTGTCAGTGATTTGAAATATGGCTTATTAATATCTTCTCTATGTTTCATTTGGATCAAGGAGATAGCCATTGCCTTCCTAGCATTTCTTCAGGTTTAAATGCCCCTTTAAACATGCATTATATTTTAAAGAGTTTGCCGAATGTGTTGCTTACAGTATGTTTCCATGATTTCTTAATTCCGTTTTTGGTTTTAGCAATGGGACGTTTCTGGTAAAACTCTTCCAAGAAGTGGGCACTTGTGGTAATTGAACTTGGCAAATGATTGATTCCATGGATGTTACTGATTAAGACTGAAGGCTGCTATTGCTTAATTTCTTCATAGCTTTTTATTATGATTTACTGTGGATTCCTACATGTTTGTTCAATTCTTTGTTCACATAATTTGCTTGTAGCGAAGACTATTGTTTCATTGTCATATCTACTTATACACAGTCTTATTTTGGATGCTATATGGTTATGGTTATTTTGATGATATTCAAGTAGCAGTAGGTTGTAACTGGATAAATCATAAAGGCCATTCTTGGTTTAGGACACCCTAAAATGAGCTGAAGCAATCATTGTGTTAGAATGGATACTCTCAATTTTGGTATGGCTCATGCTGTTCTAACATTAATAAGAATTGACATCTTTAAGCAGACAGATCTCTTTCAAACTTAGGATGAAATAATATTGTCTTTTACAGATGTTGAATGTTAATTATTTTTTCAATCTGGAGTTGGTGAGTGAATTTCCTGAAAGTTGAGCATAAAAAATGAAATGATATTCAATTTAAAGAGGACTGTCACAAAGTTTAGCTCTTTAGTTCATACTTCATAGCGAGCATGCACTCTCTTCAAGAGATGGTGATGTTCTATAAGTTCTTAATAATTATTCTCTGAGAATTATTAGACGATCCACAAGGTTAAATACAACGTTGGTCAACATATGAGGAATCTGCACAAAGATAAATAATTTCCAATGTATTGGTTAAAGTATGTACAACAAAATACAGAATTCTTAGGTGAATTTTCTATGTGTCCAGCACCAAACCAGTATGCCAATGGCGTTCCATTAAAATAATTTTACTTCTTGAATATTTCTCGCTGGTCCTAAGCAGGCTGCTCACATCGCAAATGCTATTATAGTTCAATCTAAGGTTCTGTAGTATGCACAAAGTTTATCTCTCCCAATGTTTATATGCAACAAGCTGAATTAAGAGGAAGTATCTATGGAGAAATTATAAAAATGAGTCTAAAAAATGAAATTTCAATCAGTTAATTTTCTTTGTTATCTTTCACAATTAAGTTTTTGAAAATTTTTAAATATTTTTGCATAGGAACATATACCTATTTGAGTACCTGCCCTTTTAATACTTCCACTTGTCCATATTTATGCTCTCTTTATTGGATCATCTGAATTTTCTTTATAGATCAGCAGTTTTATTGGCATGAACATTGTACCTTTGACAATGCAGCTGTGGTGAGGGCCATGGATAACACGAAAGATAAGAGGAAATGGAAGCACATTTGGGAGGCTGGGAAAGTCATTTATACCTTGTCGACCTGGGGTATTGCTTTAGCAGGGTGAGCATATATTTGCTTTTCTGAGTTTCCAATCAGCGCATTAAGATATCCTGTACTCGGTAACACATAATCACCAATTTGTACTATCTTAAGATGCTGACTGACATGTTATTCTGTGAAGATTGGATAAAGACTGTATCGAGGATAATACTTTACACTAGATCCTCACAGGAACTTATTAAATGTGGTTCTATATGCTTTGTCATTGCATGTAAGGCTATGCCCTCTGCTCATATGTAACATCATTAGAATACCGTGCAACTATACAGATTCATTATCAATGATACTCCTTGTTGCACACTTTTAAGCAGGCATTGGAGATATAGTTCCGTTAGTTTGAGACCTTACTTGTAGAGTTAAAATTATCTTCTTAATTTGCTCGTCTCTTTTACCAATTAGGTGACTCATTGCTTCTTTGTCAATATATAAGTAGTGTTAACATAATTTCATAAACCTCCTCTGAAAAATTTTAGTTAGCATAATACTTTTAACAATAAGCTGAGAAATTGTTATTTAGCAAATTTTCAAGTAATCAGTGATTATCTTCCAAGAAGTTCAGATCGATAGCTAGGATCCCCATGTAGTTCTTTCAGCAACCTATAAATTATGCATTTTTTTGGTCTTTTTTCATTTTTAAAGACCACAGTTGTCTTTCTCATCTGCCTTTATATGTATACATTGATGGGGGATGAACAATGATTTATGTAGTTGTTTAGATGTGGATGTATTAAGGGTTCTCAGCTTGATGGATTGCAGGTTATACAGGCAAAGGGCTCTCCTGAAAGCTGCAGCAAGGGGGGTCAGCGCATCCGCCAACTTCGTTCTCAAGGCCCTCTAGAATCCATTGAACTGTATGATCACTACTACTTCTGCAATCGCTGTTTCTTCAAGTTATTGTGCATCGTGTACAGTGAGTGATCTGAATGTTGTCTAGTTTACCCATCAAAACTAATGTTTGAGAAGACGGTGTATTTTATCCACAAATTGAAAGCATGGTCACTTTATTGTGTCTCTTTCTCATCCCAATTAACACTTTTTTTTGGATTGATGGATGAATCGGTGGGATCAAATTCAATAAAATATATTAAATACTCAAGTATACTCGAGATTGATTTGAAGTTTGATATCATCAACCGAAGATAAAAGAAAAAGATATACAGAAAACTACTTTCATAATAAGATATAATCATTACAAATTTTTAACAATGCCTCTTAGACTCGTGAATTACATTCTTATCATGATAAATTTATAATCATGTTCAATATCTTGATTTACTTCGAAGCATTAACACAACCTTAGAATAGTTTTAAAAATCCTAAGATAAGAGAAATTGTATGTCAAATTGAAAGCACAATTATTGGCTCAATAAAATTATATTTCATGTAAGTTTTAGTATTGATATATCTATTAACCCTCAAAAGATTCAAGTAGTGATGAATTGAAAACAACCTTTTAATATTTTGAAGATAAAAAATTTCTTGTATATAGATGGATGCAGTGATTGCAAAAGGCGCTC